CTGTTATTTTAGAATAAAAATCGTTCTTTAAAAGTTTTTTGATATATTTCATTGAATCTTCTTTGCGAATTTTATTCTCATTAAAAAGATCAGACGCCCTAATCTTAATTTCTTCAATTACATTAAGGTAATCTGTAAAGGGGACTTGATTTTTTTCAACAGTTATTTGTGCATCTGAAGTAAGATCAAATAGTTTTTTAATAATTTTAAACTTCTCATCTCTTCCCATATTTTTAATATCATCTTTTGTAAGTTTGTAAAAATTACGAGAACGTTTTAAATATAGTTTCTTAAGAGGACTATCAGATTTCATTTTGTCTTGTCAGTATTTAAAGTAATTGAGAGTAAAGTTATGAAATGAAAGTGCTTGAGATCCATGTATTTATAAATTATTCGGAATCTGTTCTCCTTCATCAGAATTTTCTTTCAACTAATCATTGATATTATAATCAGCAAATTACGTATCAACTCTTTAATACAAAGAAATAAGTCTTCGTTATTCACTAATAAAGTCTTCATGCATAATAATACGCGTAATTGTAAAAATAACTGTTCGGTCAAAAGACTATATATAGACTTTAAAGTAACGCGTAAGATTCCAATATTCATCCTTCATGTATAGAATTCCAAATTAAATCTATATTGAAACAGTATAGTACACGAATAAGTTAACCACTCGGGAATATTTTGTTCAAAAGTGTCCTTGTTTCAAAAATCATTTAAATGATTACGCGAAAATCTATGCCATTTTTACAGTAAGTAAAGATATTATGAATATGTTAACCACTCGGAAATGCTCAAGAATATTTTGTTCAAAGTGTTACGCGAAAGTCTATGCCACTTTTACAGTAAGTAAGATACAGTATTAAACAAAGAAATGTAGCTAAAGTATGCGAAGTGATTGGATCCAGTATAATTAAATATATATATGTAAACTAAGATATTTGTGACGCGTAATAAGACGAATTGATGTGTGTCAGAACCCATATAATTGGATTTACATGTTTTATTCATTACAAGTTGCTTAGCAAAAGTAACCATTTGGTTAAAACAACATAATAATGACGCGTAAGACATCAATTCTTATTTTAAATAAGTTTTCGTATAAAGTTATATAGAAATTAACTAAAAATAACTTTGTAATGACTGTAAAGACTTATTTTAAACTCCTATAAACTTAAAGGTTAAATTTTTTATCAATTTGTATTTTATATTATTAGGTCTAGTGCGTGAATATTGTCATTTTAATTCAGCTAGGAAAATTCATTGCGGTAAAAAAAATAACGAACTAATATATGTGAACGTACACAGGTCACCATTTATAAACCAGGAAGTTTAAAAATAGATTGTTATAATAAAATTTTAATTTTCACTTGCAAATAACACGCATAATACAATAGAATTAAATTATACGCGTTGTTTAAATGAATACTGCATTTAGTAATGTATGAAAACTCGCATTTTGTAAATACCTATCTCTTAAAATAACTTGCCAAGCACACTGCCATAAATTACGTTGCACTTTCTAATTTATATGAGAAGGGCACTGAAAAAAATGAGGCCAAGATGTTAAATTAGCAAATTAATTATAATTAATGACGCGTAAGATAACATTAGTGAAAATAATTCTATATTGAAAGATTATGGAATTATTCTTGCTCAAGTTGTACCTGTTTCAGAAATCATTTATCAACACCAAACAACTTGCGCCCATTCCATTTGAAGCAGAGTCTGGTAACCGACTTCGGCTCTTACTCACATTTTGTATCACGCATTTTATTTTATTTAAACACCATGAAATCCAGCGTAAAGACAAAAAATATCCACGACTCTCTAAACAAAAAAAACACTCGAACAAATAAATAACATGCCTATCAAATGTAAATTTTGTGAAGATGATTTTTTTTTCAATAAATTAAACTCAAAACACTATGTGAAAAAACTCAGAACAGATGAACCGTCAGAAATTATATTGATCCCTGATTCAGACGACGAATTGATCCCTGATTCAGACGACGATGAACTGCCACCTCTCAAAACCGTGTTAGAAAACATAAAAACTTTCACTGAACAGAAAAATAACGAAAAATATGATGTAGAGTTTATCGAGATACATGATGAAACCACGGTTACAAACAATAATAATGATGATTTCACATATATTAACAAAGATCGTTCTCTTAGAATCAGTAAGGAAAAAATACAAGCCAAGTTAAAGAACTTGATGAGAAGACTCAAAGGCAAAAAGGTTACCGAACAAATCATCGATATATGTAAACATAAAGAAAATTATAAGTACTACAAAAAGTTCGAATCACTATCCGAATGGCAACTTTGCAAACCACTCGCCATGCTACATCGATTCAATTATTTAGTTTCTGGATATTATGGAATGAAAGGTTTTATGATAATACACGAATATTTGATAAAAAACACAAATGTGTGGGAACCTGAATTAGTGTGGGAACCTGAATTAAAAACAATTAAATATAAAAAAAAATTCATGGAAGAGGTTATCATTCCCGAATTGGCTGTTAGGTTCATAATGAAAGATCTCAGGGTTAATGATTATGAGACCGTTCTAAAAATTATGTGTGAGAGCATTGAATATGGTAATCAACATTTTTTCGGAAACCGTAATGACAAATGTTTTTGGTGAAAAGATAAATTCATTTTTATAATAATTGTATGATAAAAATCTGTAAAAAAGAGAGCATTTGATGGGGAGCTCATAGATTTGGGATGTTTTACGTATTCTACAGGCCTTTATAATGCAAATAATTTTATAAATTGTCTTAATTTGTGTATACCTTATTCAAATAAATAATATAGCTTAATTTTTAAAAATTTAAAATAATCCTTGTTTCAAGATCATTTACTGATTACGCGAAAAGTTTATGCCACTCCTAAATTTAGTACAGGATATAAACAAAGAAATGGAACTTTACTACATTCCTAATCATAGAATCATTATTTTAGTCAGAATAATTAGAATCTTTCACATACATTGGTTAGAAAAGAGGCTGAGTATTTAAATATTTTTTATTTAGCCAACCAATCACATGACTTATTTCAGCATCCATCGATGCCGAAATATACACATGACATTGTAATTTCACTACAGTATATGTATATAAAGACAACCAACTCAATACTCGAAGGTCCTAAAAGTGCCTTGCTTTCCTAATTCTCCCCTAATCTAATCGATGTAATCCAAATTAGAGCTTTGTAATGTATTCTAGAGCTCTAATTTCCAGTGTTTTCACGCTTCCTTCATTATCTAGTATTGTGTTTTTAAATAGTATTATTGTTTTTGGTTGTTATTCTGACGTTCGGAGCAATTACCATGTGACTTCAACATTTTTTTGTATTGTAAAAATTGTTTGGCTAGATTGTGAAACATGCTGTCCTAATTAGGACAAAGTTGATTCTAAAATAAATTCATTCAATTTTAATTAAGAGCTAAAAAATTTCTGTGGCTGGAGTCAGCGGATTTTTGCGACATAAAATTCTTGGCTAGGTTGTGAAACATGCACTCCTAATTAGGAATGAAGTTGATTCTTAAAAGAATTCATTCAATTTTAATTTACGAATTTGAGACTAAAAAATTTCCTATAGTATGCGTTTTTTTTCACATACATGGTTCTTCATGTTTTATTAAAAGTGCATCCTGAAGTTTTAGGTCCGATACTTTATTTTCTTTTGATTCTTTTTATTTTTATCATATTCTTTCTAGTTTTAATGTTCCCTACCTTAACTAAATTTGTACATTTCCTTTTTTTATATAGTATATTTCATTGTACTTTTGTGTTCTTTGGTTGCAAATGTCCTCTCGTTTCATTTGTCTCCTTTTTACTTCTTTTGTATATTACCAGTGATCTATTCTACATTATAATGATATACCCCACATTCATTTATATATCATATTACTTCGTGATTCGACTAGATGTTACAATCAATCTAGCTTTAGCGTTTATATATGTTGTAACATTTAATTTCATTTGTCACTACATAAAAAATATTAAAGAATAGAATATGAATTACGCTTACGTTTAGTAACTTTCTTTTTTTGTTCTATATTTGTTTCGTGGCAACATAACGATATACTTGTGAAAACTGTAAAGACAAATGAACTATTTTCTTATACTTCTTTTATTTCATATAATAACAAAATTTTGATTTTATAAATAAAATCCTACGCATAGTTATAATAACTTGGATTTAATTAGAAGCTTAAAACATCAATTCTTTATTTTAGCAAGAAAGAATACTGTATCATTTTTATGATTACGTACAGAATATTAAACAAGAAATGGAAGTTGATGGGTAGTATACTGTATATATGTAGAATTAGTAATGTGTTAAAAAGGCACTTTTACAATTAACTTGTAATATTATATGTTAGATTAAGTTTTATCTATATAAATTCTAATTTTGGTGACAAATAATTCTATTTTCAGTGACAATTAAAATTAAAGAATTCTATATTATTTGTCACCGAAATTAAGATACAGAATCATTCATGTATTGTTTTAGAATTGTCAAAGCTTTCTTTGATAAATTAAACATCATGTGATTATGAAAGATTTGTGTTACCGTTACGTTAAGTTCTTTTTTGTAGAGCCCTGCGTGTGAAACTGCCGAGTTTGGAAACTTTAGGTCTTGCGGATTTGCGTCTGGGACTTTGATAAGTGGCCTTGACTTTGAATAATATTTTGATTCATCTTTCAGGTCATGTGTTTTGGAGGACCCACAGGGCCGCGAAGTTCAGAAGTCACGATCGAATTTGAATTGCGCAGGTATTTGGTAACAATGGATTTGATCACAACCTAGTGTTATTCTTTATTGCAGGGAAATTTTCACCATATATATAGCATAACAAAAGAGTTAATGATGGATAACAGATAAGAAAAAGAATAATTAATAGAGAAATATATTCATTTTTGGTTCATTGATAATAAAATATGTAGATTATTTTTTATGAATAAAATTTTACACATACTTTC